GTTGCAAATTGTGGGTCTGTGGCCACATCCAATCTACAAATGGATTTTTTTTTTTGGGCAGAATTGAGTTTCTCAGAATCATGAATTTGAGTGACTTTAAGATGGTGTGTACTTATCATCTGGGTGAACATTCTCCCAACCAGCCTATACCAGACCTTTGCACCTCCGTGCAGACCCTGGGCACCAGGGCATTTGACTTTGGGTTTGTCATGCAAGTGTAAATGAAAAATTTTGCCCAGCATTTTTTCTGAGAGGCTACAGTTAATCCTATGGAAACACCCTAGGTCACTAGTACAAAACACATACTTGCTACAGGAAAGGGTTCTTTACCTCCAAATGTCAGTTTTCCTAAGGTCTTCTATGTTTTACAGATCCCACAAACACGGTGCCTGGGTGGCTCAGTTAGGCATCTGACTCTTGATTTCAGCTCAGGTCATGATCTTAGGATCCCAGGATGGAGCCCCATGTGGGGATCTGTGCTCAGTGGAGAATCTGCTGGAGATTCTTTCCCTCTGCCCCTTCTACATACTCTCTCTCAAATAAATAAAATCTTAAACAAAACAAGAATCCCCACAAATGATTCTCAAATAATTTATAGAATTAATGTTCCCTTAGATTATAAATTTCATTGTGGTTACAGTTTTTTTTTCCTCTAGAATTCGGTGTAAAAGGCGAATTTTAACTAAAAAAGACCCTTTTCTGGGAGGAAACCAGTTGCTTTGTTTTATAGTCAAACTAAAAAGTGCTATAGTCAGAGGTTATAATTCTGTTATTTTGAACATTTTCTAAAGAATTATTTGTATGCATCTCAAAGTCATTTTTTACGAAGCTTGATATAACATTTTTCTCTATTAAAAACTTTAAAAAGTCAAAGAGAATGATGAATTTTTATGATCTCCGTGGAAACATCATCTTTATGACTATTTTTTTTTCTATTTTCAATTCCATTTTAGGGATTTGGAGACAAAAAAATGGTTAACTTGAGACAGCCCTAATTTCCTTCCCCAGCCCCCCAAAAATGTTTAAATAAATTCGTGGGTACCATAAAGATATTTTATTTTAGGGTTGGGCCACAAAGTGACCAGTTAAGTTTTTCAGGTTGAATGTGTTTTGTTTAGGAGGTGGCAAGTTAAGAGGAAAGGAGAGAATTAAAATATTTGCAAGATGTCATTAATCTCCAGCAAGAGCCTAGAGTTGTTTTTTTTTTCCCTCTTCATTTCAGAACTAATCCAGCTTTCTGTTATTTGGCTCAGAAAAGTCTTAAATCTGTAACAAGAGAGTAACTTCCTGTTCTCAAGAGTATGGCTGCCAAAGAAAACATTTACAAGAAAAGTCCCAGGGCCAAAAAATTGCCTACTAATTATATCTTAACCCCCTCCCACCCCTAATTCAGGAAGGTGAATGCTGTAAATGCTATATGTTAAAACTCCGAAGTATGTGTTGAAAAATTAAGAGAAAACCCCTAAGAACTGTTTGCTATTTATTTATATTTTATTGCATTCAAATTACATGAGTTTTATGGCCCTTGGGCACAAATTAATGTTTCTTAGAATATTTTGTTCTGAATTCCACAAAGATTATACTATACCTTTATCAAAATACATTCTGGAAATTTTTACCTGGTACCTTCCCAGCTAGAGAAGGGAGAAGCAGCCCCAACGTTCAGGATCTGATCTAGTACTCTCAGCTAGGCCTTGATATTGCTCCAAGTTGGCCTGACACTAAGCAGTGAGGGGTTTTTTTGTTTGTTTGGGTTTTTTTGTTTTGTTTCAAGATTTGAGAGAGCATGCAAGTGGCGGTTGGAGCGGACGGAGAGTGGGAGAGAGAATCTTAAGCAGGTCCCCTCAGCACAGAGCCTAATCCTAGGACCCATGAGATCAAGACATGAGCCCTAACCAACAGTCAGACACTTAACTGAGCCACCCAGGTGCCCCACTCAGCAGTGAGGTCTTGGTGTTCTCCTTGATGATCTGTCTGTTCTGTGCAATGCCAGTCAAAATCCCGGAGCCTTTGGTAGACATGGACGGACTGTAAAACTCATACGGAAATGCAAAGGACCTAGAATAGCCAAAACAACTTTGAAAAAGAAGAACAAAGTCCTAGAGCCTATGCCATGTGACTTCAAGCCGTATTAGAATAAGATGGGCAAATAGATCAGTATATCAAAGTAGCAAGTACAGAAATAGACCAATGCATCTATGGCCAGTTGATTTTTCAACAGTGGTACTAAAGCAACTCAGGGGAAAATGGGTCGTCTTTTCAACAATGGTGCTAAAACAATTTATACTCTACACCACGTATTAGTAATCTAATCCCGTCCAACAAATTACCCCCAAATTTAACGGCTAGTCTCCCTCTGGTCTTTTTGCCCCTCGCCTCTCTTTCCAGAAACACATCTCTAGTCTCCCTTTGGGGCTTTCCCTTCTCTGACCAATTAAAATGAGTTATCCTCAAATTCGAATATGAGGAGAAGGAGACTACAGTTTATTGAATCTGTTTATCCATTTTTTCCCCCTATGTCCCTCCTGCACAGTCCCACTCACTAGGATTCATTGAGTTTCTAGTCTGTGTCCAATAGGAAATCCTTAAATTTGCAAATATTCCTGATGCAACAACACCTCCTTCCCAGTAATTATAGTGATAATGGCAGGTATCAACTGTGGGCATGTCTCTGGCACAGTGCTGGAGAATTTTTCCAGGGTCTTTCATGTGAGCTGCACAGCCAGCCTATAAGGGGGATGTAATTCCATTTCTAGGCAAAACTGCTTATGGGAGCCCTGATCCTGAGACAGGCCTGACCAAATGGGTATTGTGACTTAGTGGCAGACCTGAGACCAACTCCAAGCTTCCCACCTGTGTTCTGGAATCAGGCCCACGTGGTTTCAGGCAATTTTCATCTCTTTGAGTTCCATTTTCCTTGTCTGCAAAATAGCACTAGTAACATCTTCCACAGAGAATGAGCGGTTGCAAAGATTTAGTGGATATATGCTGGGCCTAGATTAGTAGCTCTTGGTCTCCTGTATTAACTCAGCCAGGGCTCTTTCTGGAAGACTTTCCATTTGTAGATTTCTTCATGATTATCGAGGTTTGCAATGAATCCCCTCTTTGATGGGAAATTACCCCCAAGGAGCTCACATCACAAGAGAGACAGGAAATGGACGTGATGATCAGTCATTAGATGTAATAGGACAAGAGAAGGCTCGGAAAAAAGCCCCCTGGGATTCAAAGACAGTAGAGATCAGGAGGAAACAGACTGGGAACTATTTTGGAGAGGCGAGGGTCTCCAGGTGCATATACCTGTCTCCCCCCACCCCCATCTGGCCGGTGGCACCTGGCATGTGCTGATTGAACTGAACTGGGCCTCTGAGTCTGGATATCAAGAAGAGTGCTGTGGTCTGATGTGGTCTCAGCCAAGACAGGAAGGAATCCTGCCCTTCCTGCCACGTGCCCCCCTGCCACCCCTTGCCCTTGGGGGACCACCCTGGAGCAGGAAGATAGCATTTGTTGGAGAGGAAGAGGGTTCCCAGGGTAGACTCACCATCCGCTCAGGGGCCGGCCTTGGTTGGTGCACCCTCTAGAGGGAGGAGGGCCCGTCGTATCACGCAACTCCAAGCACTTCTTAAATGTGCCTCTTGCTGGCCAGTCCTGAAATCTGTGCTCTGGGGCAGGTCCCACCCAGAGGCAAACTCAGTCGCATGGCCTGAAGTTTTTGTTTCCATGGCTGGCTCTTGCCTCTGACTAAGCAGCAGACTTTCTCTGATTCCAGGATCCTGAGGGAAAGCCCAACTCCCTTGCAGCCCAGGCCTGTTTCCAGTTTGCTGCCCATGCTCTCTCTGGGCCCTGGGGACGCCTACAGGCCTGCAGCTCACACCTGCACAGTCCCTCAGCTCAGGGATCCAAAGGCAATATCCTGAAGGAACTTTTTTCACTACCTGTTTGGGGGACAGGTCTGCCTAAAGCAAGCAACTTTATACACTCCTTCATTTCTCATTCCCAGTGTTGGCAAGTTCTCATCCTGTTGTAAGAATTTACGTGGACACAGATTTCAACAGGCCCAACTGGACCATATGCACCAAAAGACTTAAGTTTGCATGATTTTTGACCCGACCCAGTGATTCCTCTTCTAGGAATTTATCCTGAGAGAGTAATTAGGCAAGTGTACAAAGGTGTGTGTAGAAGATGATTCATCAGAGGACTGCTTAAAAAAAGTAAAGATAACTTCCCAAATCCCACCATGGGTGGGTAGGTCGAGTAAATCATAGTACATCAATAATATGGAATCCAGTTAACTGTAAGAAACGGTGGCCTAGATCTATATATCCATACCTGTATAGAATGGTCATAATGCAGTAAGTGAAAAAAAGATCACAAAGTATGTCATGAGAACAGCATTTATTAAGTGCCTACTGGGTACTAAGCACTATTTGAGAACTTCATGGATAGTAACTCATTTAATCTTCCCACCAACTCCAGCTAGGAAAGAACTGTCATGTATCCTACCTAACAGGAGCTCGAAGAGGTTCTATAACTTGCCCAAAGCACACACTAGTGACTGAGCTCCGTCTCCAGAGGCCACGTTCCTAAATATCATGATTTTGCCTTTCAATATAGTGCCATATGTGTTTTAAATACAAAACGAGATAAATACTATGTGCATGTGTTTTAAGAAAGCCAAGAAGGATTGAAATGAAAACATTGATAGAGGCATTATTATAGGATGTTATTTATTTATTTTTTTTTAGGACAAAACCTTGCATACAAAGCTGTTTTTCACTTCAGGAAGATAAAATTACTATGTAATATTAGAGTTAACTAGATAACTTTCAGGGTTTACACACACACACACACACACACACACCCTATCTTAAGGTTTATAAATGCCTCTATGGACTGTACTGAAAGAAAGATCACTGTACCCTGACTTCAACACTCCACAGCCCCATTCTGCTCTCTACCCCTGCTACCTGGTCATGGATGAAATCCAGAGACAACGTAGGTAGAAGAAAATATATGGCATTTATTAAACATATGTGACATAGGTTATATCAGAGTAGAACATGCATGAACAAATTACTTTAAAAAAACAATTGATACTGAAAACATTCAATGATTACCTTTTCACAACATACAAAAAAATTCTTTCAGTTAAAGTGAGAAAGGGAAGAAAAAATCACAGGTGAAATAAATACACTGATTTCAGTGAGCCCCATGAAGGCATAAGGCACAAATTAAACCAAGGATTAGCACATGAGAACGAGGCACTTGTGCCCGCAGGAGGCCAGTCTCCACCCGTGGCTCCCACAACCCCATACAGATCCGGGGGACCAAGAGGAGTGAGCACCCTTCCCTGGCAGGGTCAGGTATCCCCAGGTGCCCCTGCACCTATGGACAGGCTTCTTGGCACCAGAGAAACATCACTTCTAATACTTTTATGGGTGAATAAAACCTTCATGCTATAACAAATGATCCTGGCGTGAATAACATGAAATTTCAAATTAATGCCCTTTTTCCTCCCAACCGAAGGCTAGTGAACCAGAAAATAAATTGTGAGGGAATTCTGACAGAATTTCAGTGTCTACTTGGAAAGCTAATGATGGCCCAGTAAAGCATGGTTGGGTGTTTGAAATATGACCTTGAAAGCTCTCTCTCCTGCCCTCCCCTTCTACCTCATTTTTCCTTCATGTTTTAGAAGTAGATCAGAACCTCAGCAGTCTCCTTTCTGGCTGAAACTTGGATAGGAGGAAGCAGAAGCCTCCCTTCCCAGACCTCGAGCCGCACGGTTCTAGGGCTTTTGTCCATCCGTTCAAAGTGTGTGTCTCCACGTGCCTAAGTCAGTGTTTTCTTCGTGGTTAACTCCAAGACCCGTGTGTATGGAGTGTAGTTCCTGGAAGGTATTGAGATTTCACGAGTCCTACCTGTTGGGCTGAGAAATGAGAAAAGGCCGGTCAGGAAGATGGAACAAAACTGTCCATACTCTTCATTGTAAGACAACTCCAGGAAGGTTTTGCCAGTGCTGTACCCTACAATTTTATAAACTGATATTTGAATTTTCCATTTAAGTATTATAAGAGGGGCCTTTATTTTTAGCAACTTTTTAAGATTTATTTGAGAGCAAGAGAAAGAGAGCAGAGCTGAAGGAGGGGTAGAGAGAGGGAGATGGAGAATCTTAAGCAGGCTCCCTGCTGAGCAGAGAGATGGTTGCGGGGCTGGATCCCAGGACCCTGAGATCATGACCTGAGCTGAAATCAAGAATCAGACACTTAACCAACTGAGCCACCCAAGCAACCCTTCAACAACTTTCAAAGGTTGTGCTAAGCATCGATAATTCAGAAAAAACAAAACAAAACAAAAAAAACCCCATGTATTTAAGGAACTCCTAATTTGGTGGGAAACAGATGTACATAAATAACTAATGTGTTAGGTGCTCTGAGAGACACGTGATGAGCTCTGCTGGATAGTCTCCATTTACCCATTCAGATTACTCTCCCCTCTCTCCACCTCTGTGCCCTTGGGAGACTGAACTGATCAGTTTCAGTGGTAAGCATCAATGGGCTCCCTTACCCCTTAGCTTCTGGTTGATTCTGACCAGTTGGGAACTGGTAGCAGGGGATGAGAGACTGGAAGGACAGAGCGGTCAGGACCTGTGTTCCCTCCCGGCCAGGCTGCAGCTTGGTAATTGGCCGCATTCCCCTAGCAAAGGCCACAGCTTGCAGCTGTCCCCATTGTCTGTCCTCCTGGCTTCCTCCCCCTGCCTCTTCAGGCCCAGGCTGGTAACCGCTTCCGCTGTACTAGCCCCAGAGTGTGCCACTGCCCCTTGTTCTCTTCGGTCTTCCTGGCCTGTCAGGACTGTGAGCAATGTAAGAATTAACATATCATGGGCACACTGAGGACACAGAACAAGTTAGCAGCACTTAGGAGGGCATCTGGAAATGTGCAGAGAGGGGAATCTTGCAGGGTGCCTAGGCGAGCCTCAAGTGGTCAAGGAGGAGATGGGAATTCAGGCAGAAGGGATAGGGTGTGCAAGAGCAAAAGGTGAGCACAGGGGCCGTGGCTGTGGAAAGGAGACACGTTTGGCAGAACTGGAGCGAAGAGTTCGTGGTGGAAAGTGACAAGACGAGGCCCAGTGAGAAGGGCTCTGTGTGCCCAGCTAAGGAGTTTAGAAGGGGACACCGAGCCACTAAATATTTGTAAGGAGGGGCAGGATAAGCTCATCTTTTTATTCGAGCAAGATTCCTCAGCTTCACTGAGGGATGACTGCAGAGGGCTTAGTCCGGAGGCAGAATGTTGGATTTTTTTTTTTTTTTTTTTTGCTATTTAGGACGTGGAAGACAGATCGTGAGAACTTGAATTCTAACTGTAGCACTGGAGGTCAAGTAGCAAGGAAAGGGTAAGGAGATACTGGGGAAGTAGAATTAACCAGGATTTGGTGGCTGAGATGGAGAAAATCTTCCATTTCTTTTTCCTCCTGGACACATAACTACCTTTCCCAGCATCCTTTGCAATTTGATGGGCCATGTGCCTAAAAGGACGAAATGATGTATATGAAACTGGAAGAGAGAATTTTCTCTTCCAGGTTTAACTCATAAAATCCTCTTACATCATCCTCCCTGCCCAGTCTCTTCCCTTTCATGCAGAAGATAGAGTGGGGGGTCCAAGAGGACTCCAAAGCCCAGGCAGGGTGAGCAGCTGGAAGAATCCTGGCTCGGAATGACTGCAGCGAGGCCCATGTCAACCAGCCTTGCTCTGTAACAGGAGAAATCAGTCTTGATGTTGCTAAGCTGAGGTCTGTGGGCTTTTGTTACAGCAGCTACATTCCTTCTCCCCATAATGCCGTGGTGTGTATGAGATAGGAGTCCACTCCCTTCCCTGAACAGCTCGTAGCCTGTCATTCCCAAAGCGATGTGGATTATGTCTCCTTAACTGTTTTGTCATGTGTCTTCTCTATTCCCTCAACCACTGCCCTGGTTCAGGCTCTCAGAATCTCTCTCTGAATCCTAGAGTACTGTTCTAAATGGTCTTCCTCCTCAAATCCTCTACCCAGTTTGCGGTCAGAGATCTTCCTCATGAGCGAAGCAGTAATACCATTCTTAAAACTTTTCCAAGTCTCCCCATTGCTTCCAGGATGAAGTCTAACCTCCTGTGCATGGTCTTAGAGGTCCTCTGCCATCTCCTGTCATATCTGCTGTCTGGCCTTGCTAAGAAACACAATTGTCACCATAGCCACACTGCCATTCTCATGCCATCCCCTCTGTCTTGACTGTTTCCCTAATCCAATGGTTCTGATGAATCTCTGCCTGCATTTCAAGACTTAAACCAAACATCACCTCCTGTATGACAATTTTCCAGATTCCGTACCCCAGGGATAGAAATGATCTTTCTTTTTGTGCTTATTGTCCATTTCCTTGAGCAGTGGTGCTCAAATTTTCTGCCTCCACAAGGTCCACTTTTGGTAAACTTTCCTAGCCGTTAACATTTCCCACTACGCTGCGGTGATTTTCAACTGTAGGTGGCTTACAGCTGCTTCATGGGGTGTATTAGAATCTTGGGGGAAATTCGAAACTTCACATGTCTCTCCCCAAGAGATTCAATATGTCTTTTCCATACCCTCCAAACTACCCTCCCCACATAGACCTTGAAAAGGACTGTCATATAGGCTTTTTTTTTTAAGATTTTATTTATTTATTTGACAGAGATCACAAGTAGGCAGAGAGGCAGGCAGAGAGAGAGGAGGAAGCAGGCTCCCTGCTGAGCAGACAGCCCGATGTGGGGCTCGATCCCAGGACCCTGGGATCATGACCTGAGCTGGAAGGCAGAGGCTTTAACCCACTGAGCCACCCAGGCGCCCCGTTTTTTTTTTTTTTTTTAAGATTTTATTTGAGCCAGAGAAAGCATGCGCGTGTGTAAGAGAGAACTAGCTGGGGGAGAGGGAGAAGCAGGCACCCCACTGAGCAGAGCTCCTGATGCTATGGGGGGGGGGGCTTGATCCCAGGACCCTGGGATCATAACCTGAGCCAAAGGTAGGTGCTTAACCGACTGAGCCACCCAAGGCCCCTAGATTTCTGACGCACTGCTGGAAGCACCCCATTGACCCCCTCTGGTCTGCACATCCTCTACTAGTCAGTTTCCTGAAGGCTGAAAACCACACTCATCTTCATGACTCCAGCAGCTCCCTCAGTCCAGGCACAGAGCTATCACGAAATGTATGGGTGTTGAAGGAAACCAGAGGAAAAGGGATTTCCAGGAGTGAGTGGTCAGAGTATCACCTGCCACAGAGGAGCCCACAAGATCTGGGAATTCAGGGGTCCCCAGGGACCTGACTGGACAGTTTAGTGGAGTGCTGGGGCAGAAGCCAGATGGTGACTTTGCCAACCACTATGAAAATTCCACGTAGCAGAAATGGTCTCTGGTGATAATACCCTAAAAGCCTGTAAAAGGCAGAAATATTTATAAAGGTGAGCTTTCTGGGTTTCCAAAAGAGGCTCGGATATCCCAGCCTTTCAAAAAGCAGTGAGGTATTTTATTTGGTTGATGACCAGGAAACAACAGGATTTCAAGAACACAAATGATTGGAACCACAACTGAAATTCAACCACTTTCTTTAACAAATTAAGGCTATTGGTAACCTTTTGTTAGTCGAGAAAGAGGCAGGTCCCCTGGGGGAAACAGCAGCAGAGTCAGCAAATAAGTGACAAAAACTACTTTGTGTTCTGGTTTCTACAACAGAAGTCTGAACATGTTGGCACTTTAAAGCACTTACTATGTGCCCAGCACTTATGACCACGGGGAATATTTTTCATTACATCACACCCATTAAGACATAATTTCTGAGCTTGCTGGAGACCAAGTGTCATTAAGGGGCAAGGAGAAAAAAATTTCTTTTTCTTTGTTTTTCATCTTTCTCTTTGAAGGAAGGCTAGCGGGCTGGAAATTGTTCTCAGTGGCTTTCACTAACATGTATCGAACCTTTAAATCAAACTCTTGTGTCTTTTCTTTAAAAAATAGCTGTTTAAAAGCCTCTGAAATCACAATGAATGCCTTCTCCCTCCTTTCCTCCCTCCTTGCTCTGCTGTAAGATCTCTGCATTCTAGAAACGTATGGAATGCAAGGGTTGGATGAAGAGGGGAAGGAGTTGAGGAGAAACTGGAGGCAGAAGGTGGTCTTCAGTTGACTAGACCTAGAAAGCCCAGGTCTCCAGCAGGCTGGTGTCAGTGGGACTGAAGGGAGGAGACAGCCCTGTACAGGCACTGAGGCTGTCCTGGGGGCACCGGTGTTTGGAGTGAACCGACCTCAGGGACCTGGGAAGGTGGTGGCAGCATCAACAGAAATAGGAAAACGCACCCATCCTGCTGGGCGCTTTATGCCTGTGTCCTATTTCACCAGCCCAGCAGCCTCCCGAGGGAATCACTGTCAGAATCTTCTAGTTCGGCTGAGAAACTGAGAAAAAGCTGTAGATATTAACAAGAGGCAGATCGTCCAACACAGGTTTATGGAACATCCAGAAAGTGCCAGGCTAGTCCTGTACGAGCACTGGCCTGAGAGCCCAGGGTCCCTGTCCACTGGAGTCCACAGAGTTGGCACACATGGGGAAGTGGTGGCAGTGTGGGGAGGAGGTCACAAAAGGGGCTTAACTGGCTCTCTAAGTAAAGGCTGATTTTGAATTTTTCCAGCATAAAAACGGAGGAGCAGTAATTGTAAGGGAGACGCTATTAGCAGTAGGACAGCATGAAAAGGCCTCCAGGTGGAGGGAGAAATGAGTCTGAGGTGGCCCGCTCCCATCCTGTGAGGCTGCGTGCCCAGCACCGGAACATGCTGGGACCACTCTGACATCTCAGCTGACAGAGGCCTCATCCATCAAGGGGCCTTCCAGAGTTTTATGCACTGTCTAGAGGGTTCCAAAGCACAGAGAGTTTAATTGGAGAGCTTAACACATACTGAAGCACCATCAGCCCATTGAGCAAAATCACTAAAAACCACCAGTAAAAAGTGAATTGTCTTAGCACCCCCCCCAATTCACTTATATTTGATCCATTGTCTTACAAGAAAAATCAGAGCTTTGGTGTAGTTAATAGTAATAATCCCTATTCTTTATTAAGTAAGTACTTAACCAGTTACCATGCTAAATGCTGTATATACATTTAGTCCCCCTAGAAACCCTCTGAGATTTGGTATTGTCCTCTTCGTTCCCACTTTAAGGATGAAATAATGAAGGCTTCAGAGCAATTAAGTGCTTGCCTAAGGGTGTGCTCGGCTGGCCGCTGGCTGGGCTGCGCAGCCCCATAGCCTGAGGCTCCCCAGTGGACCACACTGCCAGGTTCTCTGTGAGAGAACAGGTAGAACAAAACTCACCTGCAGAAGAAAGGCTTAATGCAATACTTTGATCTAAAACATTTTGGAGGGGGCCATTTTAAAAATATTCTGGAAAACACCATGGGACCTTGTATTAGATGCAAGTTCAAAGTCCAAGTAAGAACCAGGAATTTTGGGGCACCTAGATGGCTCAGTGGGTTAAGCCTCTGCCTTTGACCCAGGTCGTGATCTCAGGGCTCTGGGATGGAGCCCTGCATCGGGTTCTCTGCTCAGCAGGGAGTCTGTTTCCCTTCCTTTCTCTCTGCCTGCCTCTCCGCTTACTTGTGATCTCTCTGTTAAATAAATAAATCTTAAAAAAAAAAAAAAAAGGAAGAATTTTGTTAGAACATACATAATACAATTTAGCAACCCTGTTTATTATTTTAAAATGACACACGTACCACACCAGGATTCCAAAGGCTTGCTTCTGATCCTGGCTGTGTGGCTTCCAGTGAATCACTTACCTCTCTGAGCCTCAATTTGGGGATCTATCAAACATGGGGATTAAACCCAACCAGGGGGTTCCAGTTTCTTTATTCAAACAAAATCTTATTTGGGATCCAACATCTAAAACACACTAAAAGCTGAGTTTCTCAGTTTTGTGTCGTTTCGTTTTTCAGGAGGGGAAGGGTACCCACAGGCCAGCAGCTCTTTGCTCCCCTCCCGCACCCTGAGGCAACCGGAGGCCTCTCCTTGAGCCCCAGCGTGGAGCCCAGAGCCTAGTGAGGCAGCTCCGAGAAGCACAGGTGGGAAACTGCTGCTCTGAATTTTCTAAAGACCCCGTGCTCCTTCCCACTCAGACCCGTGTGGCACCTTTCGCGTAGTAGGCACTTAATAAATATCGGAGAGGAAACGAATGGAACCTTACCCTGCCTTTTCGGAAATGCGGATACGTAGCTTTCATTTCCTCTGCTGACTGACCTACGCAGTGAAAGTGCTAAGATGGATCCTGGGGGAAACCAAATGTTACATTTATGGAAAAGCTGCTTTTAGATGCTGAAGTGGCTTCCAAGTTCACCATGGCCATAAGTTAAGGGTCTGTCAGCACTTCCATTATGAAAACCGCTTTGTGGTTTCATAACTTAGCCATAAAAGTTTGCTTCAGGCTATCCTTCGGCATACAAATTGAAAACCTTGTTTTAAGCCAAAACATGGGAATTACAAAACAAACAATTTATTGGTTTCAGACATAGTTTTGCACCCATCTTAAGCCAAACAAGATTTATTATGTGGGCAATTAAAGTGGACTAAACCACTTGGTTCCTGAAAAATAAAAGAGGAGAGAAATGGCCAAACTATTTATATTTCAGAAGGAGGCCCTGGACATGACTGTTCTTTTTGGCCGTATTTTTATCATGGACTTCACCCCTGATATTAATGAGACCTTGAGTCTATTTACGTATCTTTTTCCCTGCTTGAGCCTGTTAAACCTGAGAAATCTACTCAAAACCACTGACTTTGCAGATTGGGAAACAGAGGCTCCAGCAAAGACGGTCCAGCCTGATCGCATCGTGCTGCTCGCGAGGACTAGATCCAAGGTATCTGACATCCCAGCGTGGTGATGGGCTCACAACCCTTTCCCACCAGATCGAACCATTCAAGGTTCCAGGATTCTGCACTTCTGTGGCCTGCTGCTGTCTAACACAACACACCCAAATGCCCCTGATCCCATGGGAATTCACCCTCCTACACACAGTAGTTGGGGTACTTTGGGACTTTGGTTACACAGGCCACATGCCGTCAGCCGAGGGCATCCTCATTCTCACCTTGTTTTATGTCCTCTACCAAAGCACCTCGCAGGTCCCTCCTGCAGTGTTGTAAATGCCTGCCTCTGTGTTTGTCTCCCTTCCCAGACTGTGGGTTGGGAACCCAACCTCATTCCTCTCCCTAAGCCTCTGGCACAGGTAAGGTGCTCAGCAGATGTTTGCTGAGTGAATGAATGAGTGGACAGAGGAACCAGTGCATTCACTTCCTGCCAGGGCCCATGTCTCTCTCTGGGACATGGCTTCCCCAGGCTTCTCTTTGCTAGCCCCTCTGCCCTGCACAATGCCCCCAGTTGCCGTTTATCTTTGCAGAACTATTTTTGATAGAAAGAATGCAGTTCTGGTAATCACAGCCCCGTAAAGTATTTTTCTTAAGTCAGAAAGGAATTTGAGTCAGGAAAATAGGAAATTCCCAAATACCTGGGGAGAAGATCGCAGCCCACTCCAATCTCTCTGGTCTCCACCTCAGGCTTGGCCTGGGTTTCTATTAAATAGTCCAACCTGCTTTGTAGTTCGTTATTCTAGAGAGGAGGAGAAAAGTGCTTTTAGTCAAGCAAATAGGTTCCCCCACAAACATGCATGATACAATTTATACGTGTCATCCGATTTTCCCCTATACCACGGACATCTATCATAATGTATTTAGTGAGCATCTTACATAGTAGGAATTACAGAAATAGATTGCTTGCTTCCTTACAGATAGCTTTCTGTGCATGTACACACATATGTATCCAATTTTACATCAATGGAAACAAGCAAAATATCCTTTTCTATGTTTAATTTGGGGTTTTCTTCACTCAATTTGTTGTGAATATCCTGCCATGTGTATTAGTTTTCTTTTTAGGTCAACAAGCTGTTGTAGTGGGTTCATTGCGTTCCGTTGGGTGGATGTCCATTATTTATTTAACTGGTCTCTTATTGATGGCATTTAGATATTTATCACTTTTCTTGCAATTATAAATAAGGTACAGCTCATGTTTTAATACTCCCTTATTAAACTATAAAATGAGTAAGTCTATTAATTTAATTTAGTGGGAAATACCTCTATAACTTAATAATTAGTATTTCATGGGTTTGGAAAAATTCAGAATCTCAAACATATAAAGTAGAACAAGCTCCTTGGGATTAAAATTAGCATTCTAAACAGTTTTTTTCAGGCCAGAGCCAAACATTACATAGGTTGATGATTAGATGCTCAGGAATTGGAAATTTGCCCCATGGGGGAAATGAAGGACAAAGGAGCAAAAGGGTTGAGGCTATTGGAATGAAAAGAGGAAGAGGGATGGTGCCTGATGCCTAAAGGACAAACATACACAAAATCCAGAGATTAAACCACTGTTATCTTGGCATATTGAGTTTTAAGTTCTTCTATATTTTTCTGTAATTTTTCTACATTTTCTCTTTTTGCATATTACTAGTTTAACTTTTTTTTTTTTTTCATCATAAGTGTCCTCTTTAATCCCCATCACCTATTTCACCCATCCCCTAACCCGCCTCCCCACGGTGGCCGCACCAGCTTGCATTCCCCCAACAGTGCAAGATGGTTCCTTTTTGTCCACATCCTCACCAACACTTGCTGTTAGATACGGTATTGCCTCATGAAAATTTAGTCTATCTTCTTAGCTATATTCTCAGAGCAGGGCATGCCAGAGATACAAGATAAATATTTATTGAATAAATCAGTGCATAAATACTTTTATAAGGAGCATGTTATCTGCATGATTAGAAAAAGATGAAAGCATTTGTCTTTTCTTTTCAGGTGGACCAGAAGCTCACGTGCTCTTCTAAGACACTAGATGAACACAGGAAAGTTCTTTGAAAAAGAAACTCCTTTGTTTCAAAAGGAAGAATGTGGAGTCTAGCTCAGCAGCTCCTGCTCTGAATGGGTGACATCACGGAGCAGAGCCCCGGCTCTGGTATGAACTCAGGAACTCACTCACGTTCTGTAAAGAAGGTCTGTGGATCCCTTCAGCGGGAATGGGACATGGTAGATGGGGAGAGAGTGCATTCCAGATTCCCTAGCAGCCCACGAGCCAGGACAGAGGGATGGGCTCCAGATTTATCACCTAATGCTCAGGATGGGAGAATGTTGCTGGCTTCCTGCCTGAGGTACAACATTTACACACACTCAAGTACACACAGCTTCCCCAGCAATGTCTGGATTCCCCCATTCTTAAGAAAGACAAAGGCAGATGAGGCTTGCCCATCAACAAGCTCCAGAAATCCCACTGCCTTGTCTCTTCTCAGTGTAGAGTTTAATCATTTCACATGATTCTGAGCTGACTACCTATAGTTAGGGGGTGTGAAAGGAAGACGAGGTGAGTAAATACACCTTACCGATACACTGAACACAGTGCGTAGGGGACAAGGAGCCACAAATCCTTTGTTCTATTTCAGAGGAACTGTGTGTGTGCACAGCAGAGCCCCCCACCGAAAGCGGAAATGAAAAACTGTACTCTTAAATTTAAATGCAAAAAACAAAAGCATCAACTACATATCGGGTAGTGTGTATAGTTAGCTTGAGGGGAGCTAGTTAGCTGTTAAAGAACTAGGGCATGACTGGTACCCCTGAGTTTGGTCTTGTGGGGGTTCAGACAACCAAGCAGAAGATAACAAAGCCATAAGTCCCATGCCAGAGTGACCCACCGAATATTAAGGGAGAACTCAGAGGGGAACGCCAAACTCAAGATAGGGAAAATGAGTGAACTCCATGAAGGTTTGCTGGAATTATGCAGGGGAAAGAGTAAAAGAAACAAAGGGATGAGTATTCCAGGATTGTGGAACATACCGGGTTGAGAACAAGCACCTTGCTGCAGCATACAGGTAGCAAGAGAGAGATACAAAGGGCTACATCTGCCTTTACAAGGACTTTGTACCCAATTCTGTAAGGCCAGAGTCAACACTCAATTTTATTTCAGTCATTGGGCTTCCAGGTGGAAACTGTCTTGGAAGGAAATAAAACTGGGCAAAAGGAAAGAAAACGCCTTAATTAGTCAAGGAGGTCACCGCAATTTCCTAGTTGAAGGAGTGAGCGCCACATTTATAGCACTGAGGGTGGGCCCTTAATCAGTGGATCCTCCAGCAAAGAATAGCTATAAACTCTGGACAGAAAACAACAAAAAAAACCCATCTCTTACGGTCTTTGGAGACTGAACAAGGACAGGCAGGCTGTAGGGGGGAGTGACAAGCTTAGAATAGGATCTCTGTGACTCATGTGTTTGTTTTCGTTTGCAGCTTTGCCCAAGAGCAGTATAGTCCTCGTGGCAGCGGCACAGACACATAAGAAATTCAACAGAAAGATCATCTTGCTGGTAGATAAAAAAACAGTAGAAGGAGCCCAGCATAACCAGGACTGCCAAAAGTAAAGGGGAAGCCAAAAAGGAGAGAGTCAGAAAAGGCAGAAACTTTAAATTCTGTGTACAGACTCCGCTCAAGTCTCTGGCAGATCCCCTCGAACCATGCATGTGTTGGGCTACATGAAAGAAGTTTGCAGCCAAGGCTTCAAGAACAGAACCGAGATCTGAGCCATCGCCCACTAGAGCGGCAGGGTGGAGGTGGGGCTAACCAAATCCACTGCCTAAAACAAAAACCTCAGCGCCGTTCGGAATAATAAAACAATCCAAAGTCTCCACAATAGAACCTTTCCAATGTCCAGGTTATAATCCACAGTTACTGAATTTGTGAAGAGTGAGGAAAATAGGACCCATTTCCAAGGAGAAAGTGAACCAACAGATGCTAATCCCACTGGATGTGGACTTTTCACACAAGGACTTTCAAGCAGCTATTCTAACTACGCTCAGTGAGGTAAGAGAAAATATTACTAATTGATGTAGTAACTACACAACACACACACACACACACCCCAAATGGAAATTTTTGAACAGAAAAATACACTGCCTGAAATTTTAAAAAGTCAATAGACTGAAGAAAACAAGGGAGATGACAAAGGAAGGAGTCAAAGAACATGAAGACCTAGTAACAGAAATCATTCAATCAAGGGTGTCTGGATAGAACAGTCAGTTAAGCACCCAGCTCTGGTTTCAGCTCAGGTCATAATCTTAGGGTCATGAGATGGAGCCCCACATGTGGCTCCATGCTCTGTGCAGAGCCTGCTTAAGACTCTCTCCTTCTGTCCCTCCCCCACTGCACTCTCTCTAAAATAAGTCTTTTGAAAAAAATCATTTTGATCAGAATAAAATGAATAGAAAAGATTGAAAATAATAAATGGAGCTTCCTGGAACTATGGGACAATTTTTTTTAAAAGATTTTATTTATTTGACAGAAATCACAAGTAGGCAGAGAGGTAGGCAGAGAGAGGTGGAAGCAGGGTCCCTGCTGAGCAGAGAGCCCGATGCGGGGCTTGATCCCAGGACCCTGGGATTATGACCTGGACCAAAGGCAGAGGCTTTAACCCACTGAGCCACCCAGGCACCCCATATGGGACAATTTCTAATTCCTAATATAGGGATACTAGAATCATGGAAAGGATAAAGAAGCTAGAGCAAGAAAAATAGTCAAATAATGGGTAAATATTTCCCAAATTTGGTGAAGGACATAAATTTGCAAATCCAAGAGTCTTAGCAAACACCAAACAGAAATCTACCGTGGCACATGCAACTCAAACTACTGAAAATCATAAAGAAAATCTTGAAAGCAATCTTGTTTTATATATAGGGCAACAATAATTTGAATTATCACAGAAGTCTCCTCAAAAAGCATGGAAGTCAGAAGACAGCACTATGAGAAAGAAACTTGTCCCTGAACACTCTGGGATTCAGTCATGAATGTGAAAGGAAGAGCTCACTTTCAGATCAAGAAAAACTAAGTTAATTTGTCCCTGTGCTGCTATGCTATACAGAATGCTACATTAAAGGTCTTCAGGCTGCAGAGCATTGATATCAGAGAGAAACAGATTTTCAGGAATGAGTGAAGAACATCAGAAATAAATACTGTGCGAGTAAATATGAAAGACTGTATTTTCTCTTAATTTCTCTAAAGTACATATGACTATTAAAGCAAAAAGTATAACAATGTATTGTGGGTTTATAATGCATGCAAATGTGATACCTATAATAACTATGACAGCGGGGGGGGGAATGGACATATATCTTGCAAGATTTCTACATTTTACACAAAGTAGTACAATATTACTTTTAAGTGGACTATGAACAGTTAATATGTCGTGATACGCAGAGTGATGGCTATTAGAGAAAAGACACAGCAAAATGCCAATAGATATATTAAAATGGGATTCTAAAAAACAAATAATCCAAAAGAAAACAAGAAAAAGGGAACAAACAAAGCAAAACAAACCAGAGGGAGTAAACAGAAAACAAATAACGACAGACCTAAATCCAGTCATACCGATTATTAAATGTCAATGGACCGTACACTCCAAAGAGACTATCAGAATATATTTTAAAAAAGCAAGACTTAAGTATGTATGGCCTACCAGAGATGCACATTAAATACAGAGACATGGATCAGGTGAAAATAAATGGGTGGAAAAAGATACACAGTA